TGTTGATACACTATAATTCTAAGTGAATTTTCCGTTTATGTTAAAATATCATCAAAAGAAATGCTATAATTTAGTCCGAGTTTGAGTGCTAATAACGAATAGTATACTTATTATGTGGCCATTTTAAACAAAGAATACAACATTTTTAAAAGTGTATATTGAACAGCCGACCCGGCAAACTTCATTCTGCCTAAAATTTTCTCTCTGACTTGATAAACATTTCAAGACAAAAATTAGCCAAATCGGTGCAGCCGTTCTCGAGTTTTAGCGAGACTAACGAACGGAAATTCATTTTTATTTATATAGATAGATAGATTTACACAATCATTTCAATTACTATTTTATATTAATTTTAATTACTTTTTTAAGGAAAATCGTGTTAAATTTTAGTCCCATCAGTTTCGTAATAAATAAAATATTATTATTAACGCGTATTTTATACCCACTTCATCTGAGTATACTTAATTATTATATTAGAATTAGAGACCAGATTTTTTCCCTTTAGAATACTTCTAAATGTCTGTCTGATTTGGAAAATAAGTCGCACAAATGACAGTTAACATTTTTTGTTAGTTCACATACATTTAATGATTATATATCTACGAAAAAGTCGAATAGTTGACGGGCCGAATGATATTTTTAGGTATGTCAGAAATTTTGTTCTAATACTGCTACTGAAAAAAAATACAGCCTAAAAGTCAGTAAGTCAGTAATGAACTCGTCATACCAATAGTTGTAGGAAGTCGTAGGGATCGTTTCGTAAGCAGAAATTAATTTTCAAGACTTTTTTATAATACATTGACTGGACACATACGAAGTGACTTGCCAACAATAATCATATCGTGCAAGCATAATTATATAATGTTTTATTTTGCATGTTTCTAGGTTTGCAATTACACGTACAAATTGCCTAACTAACTTAGAAAAGAGCTTATGCATAAAGGTATATTCAGCGCAGAAACGGTATCAGAGTTATAATATTTACGAATGATAAATTAGACAGCACAAAATGTCATTATCTCATGTATTAATTCCAAGTAGGTCCTTAGGTTTTTTATTATTTTAAATTCTATATAGTAACATGAAATGTATTTTGTTGTCAGATATGGACCAAGAAGTAGTGTGCCACCTCCTGGATATCCACCGATGGGGGTGAAGCAGATGCCTCCAATGGGTAACATAAACGTCCCACCTGAACAACCAGGTTATCGTGGTCGTTATGATGCTCCTCCGTTTGAAGAAATTCCACCGGGCGTTGAACCACCCGTTCCTGGATTTGAGCCGTCACCTTTTGAAAAACCACCATTTGGTCCGTCTGGACCAATTGACCGTGAGCGTTTGCCTCCTCCAAATTATAGAGATCCTTATCGACCGCCTCCTTACAATGAAGGCCCTACAAGTTACAGGGATATGTCAATACCACCACCTGTACCGAATGAAATTCCAGTTCACGTAGGTGAACAACCGCCACGGTATAGAGACAATTATAGACCAGGTCATTATCGTGACCAACCGCCTATGCCATTCAGGGAAGGCCAAACATACCGAGACCCTGGACCACCTGGGTCATATCGTGACCCTAACTTTAGAGGGGGACCGCCTCCCTTCCGTGATGGCACTTACCGAAATGCTCCTTACAGGGAAGGTGGGTTCCGTGATAATCCGCATCATAATAGTTTTCGTGAGCCAACAGCTCCTTTCAGACCACCTAGTGCAGATCCTCGAGAGCCAGCACCCGTTAACTATCATGATCCAAATTATCGCGATAATTTCAGAGAGGAAAACGCTGCTTCTCGAGGCCCTAATCGTCCTGGTTTTAGAAATAATGTTCGGAACAGGGCTGCTCCAAGACGAAATGCTAATGTCGAACATGACAGACACAGAGACCGAGATGTTCGTGATAGAGAGAGATACAATGACAATCGAGAGCCAACAGAAAAAACAGAGAGAACTCGAGATTCTGACAGGAGAGCAGGGTACGAGAAGCCTCGCGATGCTCGTGAAGATCGAGCTAGAGAATATGAAAAAGTTCGGGATCATGAAAAAGAACGTGAACACGATAAGACAACTCCAGATAAAAAAGTGCGAGTCTCACCAAAGCGGAGTAGGGAAGCATGTGAGAAGAAACGTAGTGAGTCTAGAGGACGTTCTCGTGATCGTGATAGTAGAAGGGAGAAAAAAGAAGAAAGAACTCGAGACAAATCTTCTGCAGATCGAAATAGGGATCACAAAGAAAAAGAAAAGAAGCTTAAAGACCGAAAGAAAAAGAAGCGTGAAAAGGAAAAAGATACCGAAAAGAAAAAGAAACGTGATAAAAAAGATAAAAAGGATAAGGATCACGTGAAAAAGGAGGACGATGAACCTGAAAAGGAGGAAGTGAGTAAAAAAACTGGCAATGAATTAAATAAAACAGATATTGATAAACCAGCCGATGTTAAAATAGACAATGTGAATTCTGAAACAGTTTTAATAAATAAGGAAAAATCTCCTAAAATACAATCTCCGGAGAAACCGGCTGATGACTTATATGGCGATGAAGCTTCAGGAGCTGTTGACAAGGAAATTATAGAAAACTATGTTAAAACTGAAGAAAAAGGGGTACCAGAAGATAGTATAAATAATTCAGATAATGTAAACAATTCTAAAGAAGAACCGTTTGACGGTATCGAGCTTCAAGCCAATGCAGATGAATTAGATTTAAAGGTTGATACTGAAGTATCTAATCCAACAAGCAAGGAGATGTTAGCAACATTGCCTGAATTATCGAAGTGGGAAGTAGATGAAGATAACGTAGAAAAGGCTAAAGAACCAGGAGAGATAACTTCTCCAGAAGAAGAAGAAGATGGGAGCAAAGTTACATCTGATGTAATTAAACGCGCTGAAAAAGCTATATTTGCCAAAGCAATAACTTCATTAAGACCTATAGAAATTAAAAAGATCAGTACTGATCGTCTCAAACTTTATGACGACGAAGGACAAAAACCACCAATGAATAATATACAAATTACGGTCCCGGTAACTGATTCCGAACCGAGGTCAATTGAAATTAACGAAAAGAAGAAGAGATACTCAAAAACTCCACCGCCTCGTTTGTCCGTTAAAGAACGACTCGGCGGGAAGGTAGAAGAATCCCGAAGGGGTAGAGAAACGCGTATTGTACAAAGTACTGTAGAGCGTGTTAAGTCAAGATCCAAAACTCCTAAGCGGGAACAGCCTTATAGACGAGTGACCGTGGAAAGAGATAGGGGTCGGAAACAGGAGGCTCCTAGAATAGAAATGGTTAAAAACGAAAGGCGGTTGATGTCTGAAGCAGTAAAAACTGAAAAACATCGAGCGCGTAGTCCTAATGAAAAGAAATATTCTAAAGAAGATAAAAAGACCAACACAAATGAAAACAGCGTTAATCGCGATCGAGGTCAGGAGAAAAATGTATCCGAAGGGAAACATACGGATCGTGAGAGGAAAAAATCCACTTTGGATGAAGCCCATTTCGAACCAGATTATGACGAAAATGTAGAATCTGACCATGAACAGAAAGAAGAAAATCCCAAAAAACGGGAACGTTCAGCGTCACCGGCTGATGTGAGCGAAACTAAAAAAGCTAAACTTGACAATGACACTATAAAATTAGATTTGACCAATGTCAAGAAGAAGCCTGATTCGGAGAGTGAATCTACTAGTGACTCAGAATATTCATCGTCGTCCTCGTCATCTGATGCTCGCAAACGTAAGAAGAAGAAGAAACGCAGTAAGAAAAAGAAAAAGCGAGCTGCAAGCGAAAGCGAAAGTGAGTCGGAATCCAGTTCTGATGATCACAAGAAAAAGAAAAAGAAGCGTAAGCATAAGAAAAAATCTAGTAAGAAGAAAAAGAAATCTAAACATAAGTAAAGCATACTTTCCCTTGTTTGTATATTGCATACATTATTTTTGTTTATTATTGATGACTTATTATAGATAAGTTGATAATAAATGTAAATAAGTTTCTGGTGTTTTTGTCAGTTACATATACATTAGTTTGAAACTCTTTTTAGTTAGGGGGTGAGTCAGATATTTTAATAAACTTATGTAAAATTCTGAATAATAAAAATAAAAGCTTATAGTAATTATATTTTTGTTTTAATTTACGTAAATGTATTTTTATCGAAGGTAAACTTGGTCTCATTAAATGAACAGGTGCATCATACCCAAGCCTATTAGAAACGATGCAACCATTGTCCCTTTATGGGTGAAGAAGTGAGTGATCTTCACTTAAGGTGTCACTTAAACAGTTCTAAAGTATCAAATTTCTAAAATTCTTGCACTTTAAGTTTATCTAAAATATTACCAACATTGTAACAAAGCTTTCAATCTTATAAGTGGTAGGCAACATTCACTTTTCAAGGTCACTAATTTTGTTATAAATTTTATATTCGCGCGTCGCGTTCTGCGCTCGCCGTGAAAGAGCCACCAGACCACCACGGATGGGGCCGGAAGGGCCCCATCCATAGGAGTAACGGGTTGCCGAGGCTCTGGCTCGAAGGGCAGGAGTAGGAACAGAGTGGTTTTAGGTCAGTAAGAGTCTGAAAGTCCCTTCCGCCTTACCCAGATGGGATCAGTCATTGGATGATTTCCCCCCCTTAAAAATACTTAAACGTCATTCAACTTTAAGTCGCGCTAAGTATAGTTCTATCACTAAAAATTCTTTGTAAAATGAAAGATGGTACGATATCCAAGTACCTACAACTTAAAATTGAGTAGCCTTTTAGTATTTGGACGTTACTTATAGTGGATGTGCGTATGAGTACATATACATACACATGAAATTGGACGGGATCCAGGATATATTACTAAGAATTTTTAAGAAAATCAATATAACCTACTTTGTTCGACATTGGAAGTGAACCACAGGCCTCTTGTTTGGCAATTGCACTCGATCAACGACACAAGCAGTTATCATGAGTCAAGTGAGTGTAAAGACGTATTAAATATCTACCATACCTTCAGGATTAATAAAAAGACTTGCTAATTATCTTAATGTTTATTTTACAAAAGATTACATTTATAACAAAAATAATAAGATTCCGTGCTACTACTGAGAATTCCGAAATCAAAAACGCATTAACTGGTCCTGGTTAAACACTCAAACAGTTTTATTATTTTGCGAATGAACCAGGTTATAGAATATACTTATACCAAAGTTTTGATTATGCAAGGAACACCTTGTTAGTAATATATCATGCCGTTGAATTCCCGAAGGGAGAGGCCAGTTGCACATTTTCACAATGTGACAGTTCCGGACAGTAGTTGTTTTCAAGTCCTATGTAATAGAGAGCCTATTGCCATAGACCGGCCACAATTCCAGACTGTGGTAATACTGAGAAATTTGAAAAACCCCAATAAAACTACCCGCCCGGGAATTGAGCGTGAGTCCCTTTGCTCGGCAGTCCATTGCGACTACTCGACAAATGAAGCAGTCTTGAACAATATTTAATGTAATATTATTGGTGATAAAGCGAATAAATTATTATAATACAGAGATATTTCATTCAAGATAAAAATAAGATCTAACTACGGCCTCGACGATAGCCTCCTATTAAGCTTAGGCCTATGTGGTGGTACCAATTCTTGCGTATGAGATTACGCTCATATTTAGCATTACGGCGGAATTCACGCCAATCTTCTTTCTTCTGGGGAATGCTGGGACCATACGTTTTCTTAGCTCTGAACGATGATTTGACAGTCTGTAAATTAAAAAAAAAGAAACAATGTTTACTTTTTCTGTAGATTGAGGCCAAATGTAGTCCTTTTATAGCGTTGAGTTAGAATGATGCTTTAGGGTATTATATTGCCTAATGGGAGAGGTACCTATGCACTGAACAATATGTAGATAGGTGGGTGGGAAACTTGTTACTTACCTCAACGAAGGTGCTAGTTCTGTATTTCCATAATGTAGCTGCCATGAATATGGGAACCAAAGCTATTCCAAAATACTGAAGCATCGAGCCAGCAACTGCAAACAATATTATTATACTTAAGTGTCGAAAAAAACACTTGTAACTAAAATATCAATGCTCGCAAACGGCAAATTAACAATACGTACTGTAAGCTCCATCCGGATAAACGTATTCATTGAAAGTCAACTGATCCGTTGTTACCAAAGCGTAGAAGAATACGGTCATCATCATAAGTGGTGTCACAATACCCCAACAGATACGCCAGTAGAATGAAGTCTTCAAACCCAACATAAACTCAATATCCAGAGTCATGTTTTCCAAACCTGAAATATAAAATATATGACTTTAGTTAGGCATCTTCATATATTTGACAAACTAGTCATCTATATGTAATGTATCTAATGTATAAGGTGATAAAAGTATGTAGGTATAGTCAACTATTCGCCAGTTACACTTAGATTGCAGTCACTTTAAAAAAAACATTTGATTTATCTTACCATAAATCCAAAAGACACCAATAATTTCAACAATCGCAGCAAACAGTCTCATGAATGTTCCACCGTAGTGATCAACCAGTTCTAGAATGTACTGACCGCCCTATAAAGTTTAATAATAGTCTGATTAGGGAGTTATGCCCGAATACTGAAACGTTACTCAATTTTAAGTCGTGCTTAAATATCGTGCCATCTCTGTCATATCACAAAGAATTTAAAGTAAAGACAGAACTATACTTAAGCACGACTTAAAATTGAGTAACGTTTCAGTATTCCGGCATTAGGGACGTAATTAATACAAGAATCTTTGAATATTTCTCTATAAGTTTAATATTGTATTCTAAGGAGTATAGAATATAAGTTGAAAGCTGTTACTATTTCAAACTAATTTCCAATCTTTGAGAACAAGCTTCTAAAAGTCACCCACCCGCTTACTGTTGTGGTAACCCTTATTTCAATAATTTTAGCTCGGTGTAATCTCTACACTTTATTATAAAATCAAAAAACCACTTACTGGGGTAACATAAACAAGTCCAACTAAAAAGCATGCTGAGCATATCGTAGCCGACATCACAATTGTGGGGACTTTAGGGAAAGCATCGAGGAAGATTGTGTTTACAGTCGAAAATAAGGCAACTCCTGAGCCAACGCCGAGTACAGCCATCATCAGGAAGAACAGGGCAGAGAATAGCTGAAAAATTAAGATAACATTTAATAAAATACAAACAAAATAAATTCATCAAGTAGAAATACATAGAACCTATGTGTATGTATGTACACACACACGTCCACGTACATACATACACACATATATATATAATATGTAACTTCCAATTTTCACTAATTGTGTTATGTAGCATTTGCAGGGGTCATATCCTAGGGGGCACGGGGCCTATCGTCGTATACCGGCTACAGTTCCAACGACTTCGTGGTAATATCAAAAAAGCCCAATAATATTTTGTCCAACGTGGGATAATCGCTATGCTACCGAGAGGCAGTGAATATTACGTTCTAGCTTGAAATATAAATGAAGTGATTCTAATATTTTAATATGTTTTTAATTTCTTACTTGTGGGACAAATGGAGACTGTGCAATAGCATCTGGGTAGGACACAAAGGCCAAGCTAGAACCTCCAGATGTAATGATTTTGCTGATGTCGTCCTCACCCATTTGGAAAGCGAGGTTCCCCAGAATACCGAAGATGGTGATACCCGAAATTAAACTAGTGAACGTGTCCAGCGTCGTCACAATCATTGAGTCTCTGGAAAAAGAACAGAAATATAAATTGGTACTATTTCTCAACTTAACTCGTCGAGTACCGGTTTTGTAGACACAATTATAGAACAATAGGTTGCGGTCACCGGTGACCGCTTGGTGTTTGACAGTTTAATGATTTTTGTTTCATCAAGTTGGTTACGTAGCTATAGCTATAGCTATAGCTATATCTTTATATATATAATTCTTCTGTGAGTGTGTATGTCACTGAACTTCTCTCAAACGACTGGACCGATTTTGATGAAATTTTTTGCGTGTGTTCAAGGGGATCTGGGAATGGTTTAGATTCACAAAACAGCCCGGCAGATGGCGCTGCAGTCGAAGTTTAGGTTATTTATCTTAAACAGCTGAACTAATTTGAATGAATTTATGTTTATACATTTAAGTGGATATGCAAGACAACGTCTGATGGGTCCGCTAGTATAGTATATTCTTCTTTATCTTATTATCTTTTGAAGCAGTATTATCTAACAATAAATTGTTGATCAAGGTTAAAGTTACATGGTACTTGAGAATAATCTTATTTACCTGTATACGTTCTGTGTAAACTTGTTGAAAGAGGAGAACATGATCAAAGCACCGGAACATGTGGAGAGAGAAAAGAAGACCTGAGTTGTAGCTGCGTACCACACCTAGAACAAGTTAACAACTAAATAAAAGAAACAAAAGTAATACAAGTTTAATTTCTTTTAATTGAATTTTTATTTACCTTCAATTCCAAGATTTTTGACCACTGTGGTGTAATGAAGAATAATATTCCCTTATCAGCGCCGGGTAATGTGACAGCCCTGAAATTTTAATTAACCTTTTGAACGCCACGGACGTTTATAGACGTCTAACGAAATCGTGCCAAACACGCCACCGACGTCTATAGACGTCAAGAAAACGACATTTTTTAAATACAAAATAAATATACTAAATTAAGTTTTCTGTGTTTCTTTTTCCTATTATTTCAAACTATTAATATCAACATTTAACATTTAGACCGCCTCATTGGCCGAGTGGTCGCAAGTGCGACTGCCGGGCAAGGGGTCTCGGGTTCGATTCCCGGGTAGGGCAAAGTATTACTGGGTTTCTTTTAAAAAAAAAAGCCCAGTAGCAGCAATGAGTCTGGAATAGTGCCCGGTATATGGCAATAGGCTCACCCCTATTACATGGGACTCATAACATAAATCGTGAAAAGTCGGTGTTATATTGTACAGTGGCATTAAGTGCCCTAATGTGCAACTCTGCCTACCCCTTCGGGGAGGACACGCGTGATGTTATGTGTGTATATGTGTGAATATCAACATTTAATTTAATTTCAAATTTGAAACTTAAGTCAACCTCTCGCTAAAGTAACTTATGTAAGAACTAATAATATAATTCCCATTACAATTCGACGACAGCAGTTCTCGTGTAGGCCCGTAGCGCTTGCTACACACTGCGACGATACACGTAGCACTTGTGCTACGACTCTACTACGGGCGTAGCGAACGTGCTACGAAAGTAGCAATTTAGCTACGATGCCATTTTAGTAGTGGATAGAAAATAATATTATAATGTAATGGTTTTGTAAATACTCGTGTTACTTATAATCTAATTAATTATTATTATCTATGTCTTTACCATTCACGGGACCCCAGGGTCCCGGTCATTTGGGAGGCGTACGAGGGGCTGAAGCCAACTGCGCAGAGGCCCTTTAGACAACTTTTATATAAATGTAATGGACACACAAACCGGCAACTATCCCTGTATGCACTATGGAAATGCACCCAAGGACAGTCCCCGGTTAGTGTAGAACTATTGTGGATAATGGAAAAAAAAGGTAGGGCTATGGATGGGTTGTTGTGGACTGATAAATCGGGAACTATGGATGACTATGGCACCTGCCGAAACAATGTAATTATTACACGTAAAAATGGCCGTCGGAGACTCGCCAACTCACCGACTGGGCCCCGGGAATGGTTGCTAGCAACAGAGGGGAGAGAATGTGAGTGGCCGAAGGGTTAAGAAACTACCACCGCTTCCTACTCAGATCATCTGCTCCAGCTGAAGCCTCCTGCATCCCTGGCCCACTCGCGACTTACGAATAGTTTCGTACCCTCCGAGCAGGATCACTGCTCTCGCGACTCCACTCTGGACGGCCAATGAAGGCAAGCCAGAGGTGGGAGACCTGTTCCTTGTCATCGTTCACTCCAGCTAGCCAATTAAGGCAAGCCGGAGAAGAAGGAATGGTGACTTCTCCCTGGAGCACTCGGGATGATGGTAGACCGCGGGATCGCTAATACCCGTCACCTCGCCTCAAGGTGCCCTGCGGGCTTATTATTATTATTATTATTTACCTGATAAGCAATATCAGCATGACGACATATGGGAATAAAGCGAGGAAGTAGGCAGCCTTTCCAGAACTTTTGATACCTCTTGCGACGATTACGAAGATAATTAACCAGGATACAAATAAACTTAGTGTTAGGTCCCAGATTGGTGTACCTACAAACAAAACGGTATTTGATTATTTAAATAGAAAAACAACTTTATGCTTGTAAAGAAATATTACAACTTTCCTTGCTATAAAAATAATATATAAATATAAAGTTAATTTTTGTAATAAAATAATACTTCTTGTGTATCACGTTAAGGGGTTAAAATAGGTAGAGGTAAAATTTAGAGTTTAACATCGTAAATTGTATGTTATATTTGTATAACAATGTATATTTTTATATTTTCATATTACATTACAAATAATCGTATTGCACATTATCTACTTACCAATGCCATCATGGATACCATCAGATTGACGCAGAACAGTTCTCCTGTTAACAAGAAATCAAAGTTTTAGTTAAATAATAAATATTGACAACATCATGTTTGTTTACAAAACGTACAAATATACATAAAATGGCTTTAGCATGTAACTTCCACGCGCAAATAAATATTTAAAATAAATAGATACACAGTTTTGCTTAAAGCAATATAAAAAGATACCTTTTTCTAGTTCCCAATTTTTAAGGGGGCTGTAATGTCAGCGTTACATGAATAGTCGATTTGTTTCGCTTGTGCCTTGCACTAAGCAAAAACTTTATGTAGGTACGTAATGTAAATAAGTATTTATTTTGATCGATTGATAATAATTGTTGTTGCAGTAATTAGCATTTTATGTATTTTTGTTATCATGAAATTAGCATTTTTAACTTATTACATCTATATTTGGGAGTCCCCGATATGCAGCTTTTACACGAGATAAGAATGATTCAGATCAGATCACGTTTTAATGATGTTTCGAAGGTCGGTTTGAGAGGCCCTTTTTACCCTGTGCCTCAACATTATACACACGTAAATATTCCAAGTAGATAGAGATGATGTAGATTTTCCACATAATGTTAGCGGTGAGCCCAATACTTAGTTTATCCTACAAAATGTAGGTTCCTTAGTTCAACCCCATAATCCCGATGAATTATAAACAGGTAGGTACTTCTATTTCGATAAAAATACAATTGCAATAATTCCACAAACAGCAAGCGCCAATGTTAAGTACATTTTCACATTATTTATTTTTATTCGGTGCAAGTAAAGTGCCACGTGACACTTGTTTACGGGGGATTGTGACACCTCCACCGTTATCTAGGCTTGTCTTATCATCTTATTAATAATTCAAAATAATCAATGTATATCTACCTAAATACGCAGCATTTACATTATCAGGTCATGTTTTATCAGTTATTGAGTGATAAATGAACATATACGTATCTATATTTTATTGATAAACCGATTAAATACGAAATATCTGCATATTTTAATGGCACGTGGTAAATATTTGCTTTGTATGCAAAGCTTTATGTTTTAAGCAGCCGTGTTGATTAAAGTGAAGGTCTATTAGGTTTTTTCATGAACCGAGTGGTGTAAGCAGCCGTGGCTTTTTTTGAAGAGTCAGCTAAATTCAAAATAGGTACTTATAGGTATAGTTATCTGCTACTTGATTCTAAGAATATGTGTTATTGCTATCACTGATAATAGTTGATAAGCTTCTCAGAATTAAATGGCTTGAAATATTAACTCTAAAGAGAATTTTAATAATGTTGACCGTATTTTATTTATTAATATTATATTATTTGGAAGTTTTGTTGTTTAACGAGATAGTAACTTAAATTATGTAAGTGACAGGGGCGTAGCTAGCGCCATATCTGCCGTATCAATTATCGCCAACCTTCCGGGCTGCGGTGGCCCCCAATAAATAAAATAAGCCTTTATTGCTGTAGTTACAATAACAAGAATTACAGTTGTAACCAAAGTTGTAACAGAGTTAAATAACAAACTTAAAAACTACTCTAACATTGTCTCAGCAATTGGTTTCTCTCCTCTTACAACAGCTTGTCTTTCGACAAAGGCCTCCTCTAAGGATTTCCACTTGTTTCTGTCCTTTGCTACACGTAACCATTCTGGCCCTGCTACTCGTTTCAAGTCGTCTTCCCATCGTTTATACTGTCTTCCTCTACTTCTCCTGCGGTCTCTAGGGTACCATTCCGTAATTATTCTGGTCCATTTCTCTCTCTCCTCTCTCAGCATATGTCCTGTCCAGCGCCATTTCAGCGTTCTATATACTGATAGGACATTTCCGAACTTGGTATTTTCTTTGATTTCTTTAAGTTGTATCTTATCCTTTCTTCTTACCCCCAGTACACTTCTCTCGATTCCATTTTGGCATATCTTTAATTTATTCTGCTGGTGTTTAGTTAAGGCCCAAGTTTGGCATCCATATACAAGACATGGCAGCAAACAAACATTGAAGACTTTTCGTTTCTCTGTCATAGGCATTTCTTCATTTTTCATTATTTCGCTTAGTGACCAGAATTTTTTCCAAGTATTTGCTATTCTTCTTTCAATTTCCTTCTGCATACACTCTGTCGGTGATACTAATTGGCCTAAATAAATATATTCGCTTACATATTCCAGCTGCTGATTGTCGATTGTAATAGCAGGTTTTTGTAGGGAATTGCTCATTATTTTTGTTTTTGAGATGTTCATTGTGAGCCCTGCATTAGCACTTTCATCTGACAATTGCTGTAGCATTCCTTCCAGGGTCCTGGGACATTCAGAGAAAATTATCAGATCGTCAGCGAATCTCAAATGACTCAGTTTTTCTCCGTTTACGTTAATACCGAAATTTTCCCAGTCAAGTCTCCTGAAGATCAACTCCAACACAGCTGAGAATATCTTCGGTGAGATCGGGTCTCCTTGACGTACGCCTCTTTCTATCGAAAACTCTTCCCCTGACCTTTCTAATTTGATATGCGCTCTGCTTTTTCCATAAATGATTTTTAGGATGCGTATGTACTTTTTATGGACCCCTTGTTGTTCTAGTGATTCCCATATGTAGTGATGTTCCAAGGAGTCAAACGCCTTATTAAAGTCCACAAAACCCAAGTAATATGTTTTGTTGTATTCCCTATATTTCTGCAGTATCTGGCGCAGGACGTGAATGTGGTCAATGGTAGAAAAATTACTTCTGAATCCAGCTTGCTCCTTCGGCTGGTTCTCATCAAAGGTGTTAGTTAGTCTAAATAATAGTATTTTAGAAAATACCTTGTATATATTAGACATCAAGCTTATTGGCCTATAATTATTAATATTTCCCTTGTCTCCCTTTTTGTGCAACAAAACTATGACCGATGTCGTCCAATCTTCTGGGATTACTTCTGTTGTTATTATTTCATTGAACAAGCTAGTCAACTTTGGGGCAATTCCTGGCATGGATATTTTCAGCAGTTCGTTGGTGATTTGGTCGAGACCTGGTGCTTTGCCTAGCTTCTGTGTAGTGATAGCCCTTTCAGTTTCCTCTATTAGAATGGGTGGAATAGGTTCATTTCCATGCGTGTCCTCCATGATAGTCGCAATAGGTCTTTCATTTTTGCATTTATACAGCTCTTTATAATATTCCGTAGCAATATTTAATATATCTTTCCTTTTTGTAGTACTCCTGCCATGTTTATCCTTCATATTTGGCATCCAGTTCTTTTTAGGTTCTAGTTCTTTGAATGCACTCTTCACTCCGCCTGTTTTATTGATGTGATACTGGAATGTGATTGCTCTTTTTTGTTTTCTTTCTTTCCTAATATTTTTGTTGATGTTTTTACTTATTTCTGCAATCTTTGTCCGTATTATTTTGTTTGTCTTGCTTTGCAAAAGTAATTTCCTTTCATTGAGTAATTGTAATGTTTCGGCGGATAGGGTGAGTTTATTGTTTGTATGCACTTTCCGGGTTTCTTTTTTGAGAGTATTCACAAAATCGCAGTATTTCGCTTCAATTGGCTTGTTGTATTCTTTGCCTTCACTTTCGAGCATTTTCTTTATACTGTTTATTAGGTCTTCATTATTTTTACTGTCTATATAGGGTATCGGTCCAGTGTGCAGCCTTCGACTTTTCTTAGTATGAGTTCCTCGAAACGTAGCACGAACCATTTTGTGATCTGAATTGAAGTTAAAATTATGTAAAATTTCTAGATTTATAAAAAGTTTAGGTTTATTAGTCATAACATAGTCGATTTCGTTTTTGAAGAGTCCATTTGGGGAAGTCCACGTCCATTTCTTGTTCTTTTTCTTTTTATAGAAGCTGTTCAGAATACTAAGTTTATTTTCGATTCCAAAGTTAACCAATCTCCTTCCGTTTTTACTTCTAATACCACTACCGTATCTCCCAACCGCATACTCTTCACCACTTTGACATATTCCAATTTGTCCGTTGAAGTCACCCATTACTATTATATTTTTGTGAGCAGTATCAACTGTATTTTGTAATTTTTGATAAAATTCTTCAATTCGTTCATTACCTTGTTTGTTATCCGCTTCAGTTGGCGAGTAGGCTTGGATAATTGACCATAATTCATCTCTGTTATTTTTTACGGGAAGTTTGATATTAAGTATTGCTATTCTATCAGTTATTCCTTTAATTTCTTCTATTCGGTTAGTATGTTTCTTTTTTATCAAAAAGCCAACACCATATTGTCCTGGTGTTTCTCCTTTATAATGTAGTATATAATTTCCGTGGTCTTCTATTTCTTCTCCTAGTCTTCGTACTTCACTTATTCCTATAATGTCCCAGTTAATTTTGTTGAATTCTGTTTCTAGTTCGATAAGTTTCTCTGGGGTTCTAAGTGACCGAGTATTAAGCGTGGCTATGTGTATGTCACCGCTATTTTTCGTTTGTCGCTTGTCTTTCCTTAGAGGGTGTTGGTCATTTTCCCCCACGATGACCAATCGGCTTGGGGGAGGGTTGGTTTTGCATGCTGGTTGTATTTCAATGGTATAGTTTTGTATTTTCCGGTTGCCGAGATTTAGTTGCTACTGTTGTTTATTTGAAGAAACGTTAGAAAGAGAGGTAGATCTCATTCTCATTACGTCGAATGCGTTCGTTCTATTGGCTTTGAAGGATATGGCTTGTTGTTTTTTTGGCTGAACATCTGAGGAATTTGGAGAAGAAGAAGTTTCTCTTTTTCTTTTATCGTTGATTGGATCATTTTCCTTTATTACGAGCTTGTCATATTTCAAAAATGCTATTTTCCCTTTCTTCCTTTCCTCCAATAACTTTACCTGCAATGCCTTTCTTTTTTCCAGAACTTCCCTTGGATAGTCTTCAGTAATATATATCTCCTTAAGATCTTTCTTTTTTCTCATTATTTCATTCTTTCGCCATTCGTTTACGAATGAACACAGTACTGGCCTTGGTTTATTACTTTCTTTTGTTATTTTCCCTAATCTATATATTTTGTTTATTGCATTTTCATCCATATCAATATTTACGTCCCTTTTAAGGATGTTCTTAATACTATTTATTAATTCCATTGCTGTTCTTTCTTTTTCATCCACACCAAATATAATTATATTGTTATTTCGTTTTTCTCTTTTTAGATATTCTATTTCTTTCTCCTGAGTTTCTATTTTTTGTTTTAAGAATTTATTTTCTTCCAGAATCGGCATTAATTTGTCATCCATTCTTGACATTATGCTATTTGTGATGGTTTCGGTAATTTCCACCGATTGTTGTTGCATTTCCAATTTCATTTTATCAAACAAAAGTTGGAATTGTGTTTCCATCTTGTTAAGTTTGCTTGAAACGAAACGTAATCTTAAGATAATTCTCAACTTGGCAACACAGACCTTTGAATAAAATAATATTTAGTAACTTTTACTATTTTTATTGTATGTAGGTATCTATGGCAAAATGTTAGTGACTTCACTAGAACTGTCAAAGTCGAAGAGATACGAGATTCGAGGAATAGTCTATGGTCTAACCTTGAAAAAGTTGTTTGCGAAACTTTCTTCCTTATTATTTAGTGTGGCGTAAAAAGTTGATATTCCACTACTTCCAGGTCTTCTTTCTGTTCCTGCACGGTGTTATTTTGAAGTATGAAGTGATTATAAGTTATATAAATTTTAGTTTTAGCGCGACGTAACTGACGTAGTTGATTATGCTACGAAGTCCTAATTATTATTTTATTTCAGCAACAACAAAAGTCAAAATATTTTTTTTCCCTGCATACGTTCAAATGTTGGCAGAAACTAGAAAAACTAAAGTAGGTACTCAATAAAGTCATAAAGTCTGATAATTTGGGTAGAGGGAGTTGCTATGAAAAGTTTCCAACACAAATTGTTAGTAGGTATTTCATGCAAAAAAAATCTTTTGTGAGAAATGTTTACTTTTCATAAGGTCCCCCAAACAAATTTTTATACGGGGCCCGCCACGACAAGCTACACCACTGGTAAGTAAATAACTATACATAAATGGAGACAAATCGAAAATGAATTTAAAATTTTGTTCTTTACGGTCTTAACACGACATAAAATGTACAAAGTTACTAATAAATTAATAATAATAGCATAGTTAAATAAACTTACTGGAAATATAATTGAGCACTGGTTATGGGTCTGTTTATTATTGTCTCATTATCGGCTACCTCTCCAGAGGGAACGCAGTCAACCCAGTCTGGTTGGCACACAGACCACGGAAGAACACTTTGGAAGCTCATTACCAGATAGTACAGACAAAGTCCGACGATTGACATGTAGTAAGAGACGATGTACAAAGCGCTGAGAGCTTGAGCGTAACCCGTTCCTAAAAATTAAATTTAAATAATAAACATTTGAAACTTAAGTTTGCTTATTGTTTAGGTATTTATTTATGACGCTATGAATTGAATTTTTTAACCTTTCGATTTTTAATTTTATTAATCAAAAGAAAATGATTTGATAAAACAACGGACCTTTCATAGCTGGTGATAAAGCCCATACTTTAACACAATTACTGCTACTGAATTGACCAAGAGCAGTTTCTAAATAGTACATGGGTTTTCCTATGAGTATAAGCACGATGATGTAAGGAATAAGGAAGGCGCCGCCTCCATTCTGATAGGCGATGAAGGGGAATCGCCACACGTTGCCGAGACCGACCGAAGTGGCGATACAGGACATGAGGAACTGATATTGATTGTCCCATGTTGGCCTTTCAACTTCTGGAGTAGCTCCATCCTGGAAAAGAAATCATAACAAAATTACTTATAAGTAGATAGTAAGTACTTATATTGTAACGTTTAAATTATCACATATAAATTCATAACAGAACACAACACCTTTTATTCCCAGAAATATTTCGTAGTTTTTAGTTATTTATTTGATTCCGCTGGTGTCGTTCGTTATCTTTTTAAATGCGTCTTTGTGAGGTAATATTTAATAAAGTTTTTATGGCATGTAATCATAAAAAATTAAATTCTTAGTACCTATAATAAACATTTTATTTTCCAATCAGCTGATTCATAAATTAATTTGTACCTGCATATTAAGTATTTAGCTAAAACATAATCTGATAACTGTAAAGATATTAATTATCTAATCTCGTGACAATGTCCTGAATAAAAATTTGCCAATGATATCCTTTCAGGAATACCTACCAAATAAACAAATAAATGACCTAGGTACTCTGTTTATCGCTTCATGATTTCATATTTCAGTCATTTTGTAAGTATTTAATATGAAACTGACTGCATGTTCTAAAACGCAATATTTTTTGTTGACTGTCATATAATGTGAAAATCCTTGTGATTACATACATATTATGTGCCTATACATTTCTATATGACAATACGATCGACCAGCAGACCAATCACGCGATGATAAACAATTGGTAATAACAGAGGAGTAACAACTACTTTAGCGATTAGGGATTTGGGGATTGAGGATAGGGGAGGGACAGTATTTGTTTTCTTTATAACCTCACTCGCACGGTAAAACACAACTCAAGTGTTCAAGCTGGTTTTCTGTGAGGCTGTGGTATCCGGTCGAGTCGGCCACATTTGCGCCGAAAGCTGTCTTCCACGTGAAGACGAAGAATGTATGTACATCTTGCATTTTCGATGCATGTTATGACTACAGACTTAAGACAAGTGATTTTTAACAGATAACCGGATGAAGTTTCATTGGTATGTTAGAAGCAGATTAACTATTTTTTATGTTCAACAATTTTACTTCATTATTAATTTTAATATAAAAAAGAGATGTAAGTGGTATTTCTCACTCCATGGACATTCTAATAGGTTTAATGAGTGTTTAAAAATATAAAATTAAGTAGGTTTTAGGATCTAGTTCTAATATAATTAATTAAGCCACCTAGTGATAGATATCGCATAGTTACTTAACTTTTATCTATGACGTTAAAGCAAATAAAACACGATTTAGATATAGGCGTTGATGTTATGCAAATAAATAGATAGGAATTTCCTTAAGTTAAAAATTTTATGTTTCAAATAATGAACGAATGAAACCATTCCATTGTTTTCCGGTTCTTTATAATTTCGTAAATTGTTTTCGACATCATGAAATAACAACATAGTAATTTAACTCGTCGAGTACCGGTTATGTAGACACAATTATAGAATAGAATAGAATAGAATAGATCATTTATTTGCTATGAATGTAGGTACAAATATATATATATGTATAGAACAAAAGGTTGCGGTCACCGGTGACCGCTTGGTGTTTGACAGTTTAAACTACATTTTATTTCCGTTATTATCTTAATTTCAAAAAATAAGTCATCGATTGTTCAAGATTATCCCAAATGATAAATAATTTATTTTTGTAAATAGAATACAAAATAGAACTTTTAATTACAAGCCAGTATTTTAAAATAACTAAATTTTAATGAAATCAGCGTTTCCTACTTGACTTTGAGAAGAAACTCCAAAACAATTTCACAAGCATAGTTACCACCAAACAATTTCATTCCGTAATTATTGTTTTTACATAGTGTTGGAAATTTCCGTTTGAGTTATAGATTAGATAAAATCTATAAAATCTAGTTTAGTTCATAATTTTATATCTATTATGTATGTATAAAAAGTCTGATAAAATACGTGTTATAAACTACTGTATTTTAAGTAACCGCTGATATGCTTTACGAATGTATGCGTAATATGTGAATGTGTCTGCAGTAAAAAATTACATGTTTCAATAGTTTAAAGAGAAATAAAGCAAAAAAGCATCTTTGCCTTAAAGAATGTTTGGGGAACTATAACATTAAGAGCTCGTACACAAAAATGTGCGAGCTCCCTCTATGCATTGCGCATCAAAATCTTATCTTCCCAAAATCTTCTTTGTTTCTTTTCTGTATCTCCTAAGCAATAACATAAGAGCACACTTCTTTTTACGATCCATGTCAGGGCATAGTCTTCAATATAAAATACGTTTAGTACGGTTGACGGTCGTCGAAGGAATTATCACGCTGGGAGACATCGCATCGCATTGCAGTTTTGTGTACGAGCCCTATAACTATGGCAACACTCAAAGTACGTTGAATGTCATCAGCTGTGATCTACCTAGTTTTCTTTTGCGAATCATAACATAATATAACATAACATCACGCCTTTTATCCCCGAAGGGGTAGGCAGAGGTGCACCTCTGCCATTAAGTGCCGTTGCCGTAATGTACACATTACGGCACTGCCATGTAAAATGTAACACCCACTTTTCACTATTTATGTTATGAGTCCCATGTAATAGGGGGTGAGCCTATTGCCATATACCGGGGACAATTCCAGACTCCGTCCTACCACTGAGAATTTTTTATACCCAGTAGTACTTTGTCCGACCCGGGCATCGAACCCGAGACCCCTTGCCCAACAGTCGCACTTGCGATCACTCGGTCAACGAGGCAGTCGAATTTTTATGAAATCATTTTATGTTAAAAAGGATTGGAATTTAAGGGAATAACAATTAGAAGAAGATTATGCAAAAACATGCAAAGGAACAAATCGGAGTGGAGCTCGACTGATTGTATTTCGTGCATGAAGTGATTTTCAATAGAACAAGAAGCTGGACAATTTTTATCATATTAAGATTATGGTTTCGCTCGAGTTATGACGGGTAAGAATCGTATTACTGTTTATATTTCATCTACCAGAAGTGAAAAACCTACAAAATAAATTATATCTATACTAATATTATAAAGCTGAAGAGTTTGTTTTTTTGTTTGTTTGTTTGAACGCACTAATCTCCGAAACTACTGGTGCGATTTGAAAAAATCTTTCTGTTGGATAGCCCATTTATCGAGGAAGGCTATAAGCTATAAAATATTACGCTACGATTAAAAGGCGCCGAGCAGAGCGAAAGAAACCGCGCGGAAGTAGCTAGTCTAAAATAAGGATTGTTGCACTTTTATTTACACATTTGCACATTTATGCCTAGGTTAGTATTGGATTTTATTTGGCTGGTATCATA